CACAATGAAATTTCTGACCTTTAACAATCCCGGCTATTGTTTGTTTATTTTTTTAATAACAACAATATTTGATCACACTTCTCTTTTGCAATAATGCATCAGAATCTCATTTAGCTTTAATATTTCTGAGTTTGCACAGGAAAAAGGCATTTTTATACCATTTTCTTATTTTTTGCAAAAAAATTCTTCTTTCTTCCCTGTGTCTCTCCAGGTAGCTATATCACAACAATTGGGGTAGATTTCAAAATCCGGACGCTAGTGATTAACGGAGAAAGAGTGAAGCTGCAAATCTGGGATACGGCTGGACAGGAACGCTTCAGAACTATTACTTCCACGTAAGTCCAGGACAAGAGCTGAACAGAGTGCAGGGGCCTGAATACTGAAGAGTGTGGACAAATAAAGGTAGTTCACAACTTACAACCACAGTTGAGCCCAAAATTTATGTTGCTAAGTGAGAAATTTGCTAAGTGAGTTTTGCCCCATTTTACAACTTTTCTTGCCACAGTTGTTAACTGAATCACTGCAGTTATTAACTTAGTAACATGGGTGTTAAGTGAATCTGGCTTCCGCATTGACTTTGCTTGTCAGAAGGCCGCAAAAGGTGATCACGTGAGCCCTGGACGCTGCAACTGTCATAAATGTGAGTCAGTTATCAAACATCTGAATGTAAATCATGTGGCCATGGGGAAGCTGCAACAGTCATAATTGTGAAAAATGGTCATGTCACTTTTTTAGTGCTATTGATGTAACTTCAAACGGTCACTAAGTGAACGGTTGTAAGTCAAGGACTACCTGTAAACTTGTGCAAAACGCCAAAAGATTTCTGATCTAGAATGAAAAATTAGTTTAAAAATTTGAATGCTGGTAGTCCTCGATATACGACCGCACAAAGGTTGCTTCATTTTACGAACTTTCTGGTCACAGTTGTTAAGTGAATCACTGCAGTTGTTTAGTAATACAGTTGTTAAATGATTTTGGCTTCCCCATTGTCTTTGTTTGTCAGAAGGTCACAAAAGGTGATCACACAACTCTGGGATTCTGCAGCAAATATGAGTCAGTTGTCAAGTGTCTGAATTTTGATCATGTGACCATGGGGAATGCTGCAAGAGTCATAAATGTGAAACGGTCATAAGTGCTGTTTTTCCAGTGCTGTTGTAATTTAGAATGATCACTAAATGAAGTGTTGTAAGTTGAGGACTACCTATACTTGGACCTCGTTGTGGGATTCTAGCCATTTTAATTTTTTTTATGACAGTATTTTAATGTTGAGGGGTGTCTTCCCTCCTGAGTTTTTATGGACACCTCAGGGCTAATCACTAAACTAAATGTAAGTCTTGGTGGGGCTACACAACCGCTTCAAAACCCTGTCGCAGAAGGGAAGAAAAAGAGGGAATTATTGGATTTTCTCTGTTCAAATCATTTCATTTTCTTTGGGTGCAGGTATTACCGCAATACTCATGGTGTCATCATTGTTTACGATGTGACAAACGCCGAGTCCTTTGTTAATGTCAAACGTTGGCTGCATGAGATTGGGCAAAACTGTGACAATGTGTGCAAGATTTTGGGTGAGTGGTTTTGTTCCCAACCTGTCTTCCCCTCATCTTTCAGTTCAGTAGCCATTGCTCAAGGTTGTGAGTCTTTGTGAATCTATCACATTACATTGGAACCTTATCAGGGTAATAGAAATACAAGAGATTTTTTTCAATAGTTCTTATTCACACCGGAAAAAGAGGAAGTGGTTTGTGTTTACTTCATGGTGTCCTGCTTATTTCTCAGGGGGAGTGAGATATTTTTCTTATTTCAGGAATGTCCACCCTAGAAAAGTATATTCAGATGCATTGAGTTTTCAGCCTGAGCACATTGCTTAATTCTTCTTGGTTGCTCTAGAAACAAACATAGCTCCAGAGATATCTCATTGAAGGTCAGCTAGGGAAACCTGATAGTCTTTATTTATTTATTGCAATAGTAGCATTGGATCTGAGGAAATCATTTGGGTTGCTAGGGTTGCATCTAGGAACAGGGCAGGTGATACTGTGCTTCCATATTCTCCTTGCATTTCAGAGTATGAAGTGCTGATTTGGGCCATTTGAACAAGATTTTGTGGGGGAAAGTATTCTACCATGCCTTCTTTTTAACGGGGAATGTTCCAGCTACCTTATCTTGGAACTACAGCTCCCACAGTCCTCAACAAGCATGTCAGTTAGGGCTTCTGTAGGCCCTGCCTATTGTTTCTAGTAATAGAAAGAATAATATACTGAGATACTTTGCAGGGTGTGGATCTTTGAAGATAAGCTGCTAGATTTAGAGATCCCCTTGCTAATGCTTGGCTGAAGCTAATCAACTGAACATTTGTCACACGCCTTTTGATATGAGCGATAGCTTATGACAAAAAAAAAGCATTGTGGCTTATTGACTGCAGGACAATTCTTTATCTAACCTGATACACTGCCAACTATGAAAATCTCTCAGCGAGTTTATAAAAGGGTAAAATAAAAATTCAGCTGAGACATTGACATAGAACCTGAACATAATGATTGGGATTCCTAGAGAAGAAAAATGATATGAATTCACTGTATTTTTATCTCGCCATTACCTAAAAGCTCAATTGTAACAAAGATGAATATATTGCTTATATAAAATTGATCTAAATAAAATTAAAGCTAGGTTTTTTTAAATCACATTGAGCCACTTGGCTTTATCCAAGAGATGAAGAACTAATTTCGTCATCAATTATGGATTAGAAAGCCAAGTAAATATGGAACTTTGGCTTTGCCTACCGTAAAAAATGAAAGCTGGGATTAATTCTTGCTTTGTTTGCTGCATTGTTCTCTGGTGAGCCAAATGTAGATCATTTAACCAAATTATAAATGGTTTGTTACCACAGCCACTCTAGTGAGTGAGAAGGCAGATTTCTTAATGAGTCATTCTTCCATCTTAAGTGATTAGTTCACAGAATTATCCTCTTTAGAGTCTTTTCTCCAAAGTGTAAGACAGAGAACATACTGTTTGACATTATCTGCTTACCTGTGCCTTTTAAAATGGGAGATATCTAACCTTGGGGCATTTATTTGGACAACATATGCTGTGCCACTGAACTAGGTCTCTGTGATGAAATCCTTTTACACACATACGAAAAAAACAACCCCACTGCAGAAGTCATTAAAAGGAGCCAGGTTGAGCTGCTCAGATTAGGAGGAGGACTATAGCCTCAAGACTGTCTAATTGGCCTTAAGATGTGTTAGGTTCAAAATGAAGACAGCTTGCCCAAATTATCTGCTACCCGTGCAGAATGTATCACATAATGTATTAAAGCATTTGGATTGTTTTCTTGCTCCAATTCTCCTCTTCTCCTATCCCCTCAAAACAGTGGGTAATAAATGTGAAGACCTGTCACGGAAGCAAGTAGAGTCTGCTGACGCCCGGCGGTTCAGTGAGCAAATGGGGGTGCGACTGTTTGAGACCAGTGCTAAGGAGAACCTCAACGTTGAAGAGGTAATGGAAGAGATGGTTAGGAGGACAAAGGTGGGAAGGAAAACGGAGGCCTTCAGTGCTTCAAGAGGGGATGGCTGGAGCTTTGGGCTGGGGGGAAAAAACAAACAGGTAAGAAGGTTGTTCAGTTCCCTTCCCCTTGTATATTCCATCCGTAGATGTTCAACGCCATTACCACCATGGTGCTCCGAATGAAACAGGAAAACCTGGCACGGCGGCAACAACAGAACGAGGTCGTCAAAATCAACAAGCCCAAAAAAAAGCCTTCAGTCAAGAAATGTTGCTGAAGGGGCAGATGCCTCTTCCTTTTGGAGGGTTTTTTTTTTTTTTTGATGAACTGTGGGGAATTGTGTGGGTGAAAATCATGGCTGATAAGATTTTTTTGGGGGGGGGGGGGGCTTCTGGATCTTGATAGGAAGGGCAGGAGAACCAGTATGAATCCTCCTAGCCCTGGAATTCTTCTGTTTCTCTTCGCTGGGGAAGTTGAGTTGTGGGGATAGAAACACAAACTGAAGCATTGCTTTCCCTGCCTGATGACAGGTTGCGGGAGTTGTAGGTTGTACTTACAGAAAGGGGGTGGGGGGCTGGGTGGGAAGTACTGAGCAGCATTAAAAAAAAAAGACTACTGAAACAAATCATTGAGGTGAATAAAAGAGGATGTGGGGCGTAGCCGAGCCCAAGGAAATTGTCCTTTTCCCCATAACTGAAAAAAAAAAGCCTTTCTCTACAACTTTGCTTACTCCTTGTATTTTATTTCTCCACTTGTGGTCTGATAGCTGGAATACAACTGGTTATTCAAATTTAAGTCATGGTAAGAAGGCTGCAGGGTGAGGGAGAAGGTGGGCATTAGATTATTTTGGAGCAAGCTCTTTCAGGCGCTGGAGCTGTGCCACAGTTTACATCATAATAGGAGGAAGTGGAAAAAAAACACAAGCAAAATGTGTCAGAATTTCCCAGCTGGTTGTATTGAGAGTTTTCCTTCTCATCTCTCTAGGCTTGCTCTGATTACTCTAGGTAGGAATGATTTAGGACCAAGCTATACGTTGCTCTTCTCTTAGGATTTGGAATTTTCTGTTCATTAGCCCTGTCCTTCAAATGGTGGGAGAAAATAGCCAACTGTCCATGTAGTAGGTTTAAAAAAGGACTTTGTAACCTTTGCAGCTATAATTGGGGTATCATTCAGTCATTCCGGTTTACCTCCAGAAACTGAGGAACAAAATAAGAAATGGCAGCATAAATTTTAATATAGGAATATGAAATTATATCCGGATTCAGCTGATAAGTTGTCAACGTATGATTCCCAACTCTGAGGTATTACAGACAGACTCTGTCCCCTTTCAACATTGGGACCCTCTGTGCAATGTATTTGCTTCATTAATTATTTTATATACACACATCTCTGTAGATATCTAAAACATCTCATTTTAACTCACTTCTAATGGCATCAGACTTGTTAAGGATATACCACTATTCAATAAAGACATTTAGATATAAAAACAATACTGCTTCTTTTATTTCCCCATTATAGCCACTCCCTAGGTACCAACAGGAAGAGATCATCATAATGCCAGCTCCTGTCAAATAACATTTGGCAGTGTAAAAGTGTCAAGTTCTCTTTATCGGAAGCAAAGTCAAGAAAAAAAAACACCTTACAATTCTTCCAACTTCAATGGACATTAAAAATATGACTTCTGTGCTAATAAAGTATAAAAGTGGTTAGAATGCCCATTGTAACTCTTATTTAAAAGTATATTACAGTGTCCTGGGAAGTATTCATTGATTGCTTATTGAAAGAGAAAATAAAGTGATATAGATATTGGACTTAGTTGCAGGTATACTGTACATTATGTGGATGGAAGAGAAAGGATCAGATTATTGCAGCTGGCTGAAAACCACAAATGCCGCCATGGTGAAGTAAAATATTTTAGTGAAATGTTTATACCAACTGATAAAGGTGCTTTTTGTTGAAAGACACAGCCAGACAGAGAAGTGAATTTGACTTCAAAGGGAAATAAAATTGGGGCTGTTGATTCATATTTCCATTTCCTCTTGGTTTGCTACCGCTTCTACATGGGGCTGGGCCGATGAGGGAGCCATCAGTGTCCTGATGGTGCGCAAGAGGGAGTTACTATGAGGGCTCCACAGGACAACTTCGGTACAAGGATTCCTGTGAAAATGAGGGAGGAAGCTGGTTAATTGTTCATCCATTTTCCTTGTTACACCTTCTTTCCTACAAGTAACCTTTGACCTATGACTGTAATGGAGCCTGCCCATTACAGTCACAAATGGTGATAGCTGTTAAACAAGATGGTCTCGCTTAACCATTCCCACCCCCTGGTGTCTCTCATAACTTTGAATGGCCACTGAGTGACTGGTTATGAAGCAAGGACTATATGTACTTTATTAATACTCACAGAGAAAGAAACATTTCTTCAGAGGCAACGCTGCTTCCTTCGAGTCCTTCTAACGTGAAGGAAGACGGCACAAACATAGGGCAGTCTCCCATCATGAATTCACCGTCTACAATGACTGTGGTCAGCTCTTCTTCTGTGCAGTTGGTTTCATCACTTGCTCCATCTTGAGACAGCCTGAGATGGAGAAGGCCTTATGTGAAGAAGTCATAATATTCTGCTTCCCTGAACCCACTTTTTAAAAAAGCACAAAGCTGCCATGCTCTCTGGTACCTCCGTTGTAGCTCTTTCAACTGTGTATATGCCTGCTCCCATCTGGGGTTTTCACTGTGAACAGGGAAGCCGTTAGTACTATAGATGTGGTCGTTGTCCAGGCTAAGGGAGTTAAAACGGGCAGCCATCTTCTCCTCTGACAGAAAATGTTTAGAACTGGGTTCCCTGTTGAGGTGCAGAAAGCAGTGACAATTCAGCCTTCATTCAATAAAATCCTAGTTAGAACCAAGTAGTGCTGAGCTCATCATGGTTAAACTAACATGCCCCTTATGAAAGGTGGCACTTCATTATACATTTTGGGAAGTTTCTGCAAACAACAGGACCTCCAAAACACAAGATGGTCCTTATACAGCATTTCTAATAATTAATGTGGTTGCACCATACTCAGTTATGTTGTCAGGAATGTCTACACCATGATAGCATGAGAAGGTTCCAGTGTGATAGAAAGCAACATGAAAGGGCAAGCTTAATTACAGCTTATTAATTGAGAGCTTGGCTACTGCTACCACTTAAGATAGTGTTGTAAACATATAGTAGGTTAACATCTACACCTCTGAACAAAAACTTGAAATTTTGGTAGAATAAGCCATCAAGTGCCATGTATATACCCAAAAATATAAAATACAAAAATGGATTGGAGCATTTTTTTGCCAATGCCTTTCTTAGCTGTAGCTCCCATTTTCCTCCATACTTACTGATCTTTGCTTTCCAGATGTCGCTTAAAAGCAAGGGATACTGACTGGCATCTAAAAAAAGAAATGAGACTTGAATTAAGAATAACTAAGAATCATTCTTAGTTATTTTTGTGCCATCAACAAACCTTTAAAATAAAATATTAATAGCCCTTAGATTTATATATAGTACTACTCCATAGTACTTTGAACTCTCAGAACAGTGTATAGTGTCAGCATATTGCCCCCAATAATCTGGGTCCTCATTTTACCCACCTCGAAAGAATGGAAAGCTGAGTCAACTTTGAGACAGTGAGAATCAAACCCCAGGTTGTGGGCAGTTAGCCTGCAATCCTGCATTCTAACAACAGTGCCTCCACAGCTGCTCATTAACAGAAGATTCCTGATACTCCCTGGCAGATTCCCACCTTATTGCTTTTGAAAACCTTAAGCTGCAAAATCTTCCCTTTGGTATCAGTTTTATATTATTTTGTTGTCCACTCCTAAGACCTTCACAGCCTAGGTACAGAATTTTTAAAATATTTGCCAAACTTAGTTATTTCAGCAGCAGACAAAGTCCTTGTCCAAGCTTTTATCTTTTATGGTTTAACTGTTGGATGCTGTTCAGTAAATGATTTTATAGTTTAGCTAAGCTGTGCTTTTAAAATGTTTTTGTGAAGAAAGCAGATTATATGCCATCAAGTTGGCATCGACTTTGTAAACGAATAGATTTTCTCTAAATGTAATGCATTTTGGGTGCTACTCAAAAATATTATTAAATATCTAAATAAACCTGCTGATACATAGCCTGCTGTTGTCTTCTTTGCCTCAGCCCCCTTCATCATTTTTCCTTTGAAGCAGAGCTGGGCATTTTATGGGGCCCCTGGGCCACATCCAGCCCTTTGGATGTCACTGTCTGGCCTGCATGAGGTTAATCAGAAATTAGAAATCAAATGTAAATAAGTGTATGGCCTTATTGGTTCACAACAGTCCCGGTTTCTCACGTGGCCCCTTGAGAAAATTAATTGGCCAGACCTGCTTTGAAGGAAGCTGAGCAACAAAGCCTCTAGCATGCTCTCTTAACATATTTTCAGATCCATTAGCAGTGGTCACATGGCTAGGTGTGAATAAATGCTGGATGAATTCTCCTCTATCCCAAATCTACAGAATCTGTTTATATTAATTTGAAAGCCTCACAGCATATGATTACCGAGACCTTTGTACACCACTGAAATTCACCAATCTGCGTCTGGATTTCATCCGTGGAAGTGTGCATGGCACATCACGTTTCCAACTTGGGATGATGTTGTGGCTACAACCCATATTCCTGGACAAGACAGAGCAGTGCAAAAAATGCCCAGAAGAAACAGCTGATGATGACCCTGGGCTTATTGTAGGATTCATCTGTGAATTAAAGCAAAAGAAAAGTTAAAAAGAATCCATTTTCCAAAAGATGAAAATGTATTGAATGGGTGTCATGCTGAATTTGAGCTGAAAAAGTTAGTCAGAACTGAGTAGCGTTTGTTTTTATTTTGTATATGTAGCTTTATTAAATTTCAAAAACAAAACAAAAATAACAAAAAAGGAATAGGGGAAGAAATAAAAGGGAAATATTAAAATGTGGCAAAAATATATAAAACAAATATATAAAAAAGCAACCATTTTTCTTCAGTACAATTATAAAGTACAGCAGCCTCTAAGTTAAAATAAATATTATCTATACTTAAAAGCCTTTAAAATATTAATAACCAATAAACCTGGGTAACTTTTGTATGGAAGTGTTGGAAGAAATATCCTGGGTTCAGTTCCAAGTGGGAAGAAAGACACTGGAAACATGGAGGCTGATTGGAAAGATGGTTTAATGGTGAACCCAGAACCGCCAAGTAGTGTGATTCCGGGTAGCTGACCACATGGAGTGGTGTGTGAGATATATTTATACCCTCTGCTGAGATTTGAACTTGCTTTCTGTTTCTGTGGCAAGAAATGTATCGTGACTGGTTGCCAAACTCCCATGGGGTCTTGCAGGGGTAACTCTGTAGGTTGTCTGTGTGCTAGGTTTGGTTGAAACTTGCTGGGTGATGCAATGAAGGGCAATTAAATGGCTTTACCTGAAGGAGGTAGATCTTTGTTATGTAGAATACACAGAATGGCCCATTAACAAAGTGTGTAGGGGGTGAGTTCTGCCTGAGTTTCTACTTCTCTTTTATGGGAAATAGTCTGCCTTTTAAATATATCCTAAAATATTTCATTTTTCTAGGAGAGGGTGGATTTTAACTCCCAACAGAAGATTTCTAGGGAACCCAAGGCTGTTGGCTAAACTGAGAATTTCAAAAAGTGTTTTTAAAAAAGGCAAACTTTCTAAATGGGCCCCCAAAATCTACATGAGGCATTATCAGGAGCTGACCTAAGCTCCGCTAAAAAGTATTTTCATTTTTTTAAAATAGTAGCAGAGAGTACAAGAAACCATAGAGAATGCTTAGCTGCATACAACAACCACAACTGAGCCCCCAATTTCCATTGTTAAGCAAGACAAGTGAATTAAGCGAATTTTGTCCCATTTTATAACTGCTACAGTTAAGTGAATCACTGCAGTTGTTAAGTTAGTAACATGGCTGTTAAGTGAATCTGGTTTCCCCATTGACTTTGCCTGTCAGAATATCACAAAAGGTAATCACATGACCCCAGGACACTGCAACCATCACAAATCCACGACAGTTGTCAAGCGGCTGAATTTTGATCCCATGACCAACAGTGGTGTGAAAAATAGCCATGTCGCTTTTTTTCAGCACCATTGTAACTTCGAACAGTCACTAAACAAATAGCTGCAAATTGAGGACTACCTGTATAATAAACATGCATCCTTGGTAAAAATAAAGGACAAATATTAAAAAACATGGGCAAATTAGAGATTAATAAGAAAATGTTTATAACTTTGTTTTACAAAGAAAAATTTAAGAGTAAAAACCATGAAAAATTTTGCAAAATCCCATATTAATAAAAACATTCCAAATCAAATAATTTATGTTGACTCTTGATGATTGTATCTTTTTTTTTAATGTATACTGAGAGCATTTGCACCAAGACAAATTCCTTGAGTGTCCAATCATACTTGGCCAATAAAGAATTCTGTTCTATTCTATCCTATCCTATCCTATCCTAATAAAAAGGCAATTAAAATCAGATAATTGCCTTTTTGCATACAAATTATTTGGAGTATTTTTATTAGAATATGCGGTTTTGCAAAGTTTTCCTTGATTTTGCTCTTGAATTTTCCTTTGTAAAGTATTGTAAATATTACATTTTTTTTTAGAAAGCATACGCCTTGATTTTCGGAGCTCAGCAGTTCAGTTCCTGATCACAATCGACTGAAACTTCTTATGCAGGGGATCAGAGGGGATTTCCTTAACCCCCCTAGGGTTATCAGGCCCCTTCAGGATAAGACAAATTCGCTTTGACTTGACTTCGCTTTGCTGATACAGAACAGCCAGTCTATAGTGGAAAAGAAAAAGAGTTCCCAGCAGGCTTTGCACCCTTTGGCAGCCATTTTTAAGGAGTTCCCGACGCCTTATAGCGCTCAATCAAGAAATTCGAATCCCAGCATGCCTTGCGCTGGCCTAATAGGCTGCCACTAGCCGAGGTGGCGTGACCATGATCACAGGAAAGGGCGTGGCTCTATCTGAGGGTGGGGTAGGGTGCCCGCTTGATCCTTTGCACGTGCGCACTGTGGAGAAGAAATTGAGCAACTAGCAACGGTCAGTGTACGCGCACGCTGCCGGGTGGGAGGCGGGAAATGAAAGAGAGGTTAGAGTGCGGACCGGACGGTAGGATGTGCGCATGCTCTATTCCATTGCAAAATTTACTAAGAATTAAAACAATTCTTACCGTCCTTAAGGTTATTTGTCACGCTGGTCTCACAATAGCGCACCACAGCCAGACGGGAAAACTAGAAGCGCCACAATCATCACGTGAAGAGAAGTGATGCTTAATGTCAGGGATTGTGGGAAGTGTAGTTCCCTAAGAACCAACAGGCTGAAACGAGGAATCCCGTCATCCTTCGGGTTTTGCGGTCGGGTCTCTCTATCTTCGTTTAACCATGGAGATGCTGAATTGACTCGCGCCCCCTACCGTCTGCTTTGTCCAATTTGGAAATGATGGGACTCAGGCCGCGATTCATCAGACTTGCTGGGTAGATAGGAATTATAGTTCAGCATGGGTGAAAGCTGATTGATTAAATAGATTAAAATGCAAAGCATGTTTCCCACCATTTGACCTCCAAATTTGGGCCAGGGATGAAATTTGGAAAGGAGCAACTAAATTAGTAATCTAGCATGTATACATACTATGCTTTAAATCACTTTTTCTCAACTATTGTATGGTAATTTTAAGATATGTGGACTTCATCTCCCAGGATTCCCTACCATCATGCTAGCTGGAGACTTCTGGGAGTTGAAATCCCCACAGCATAAAATTGTCAAGGGTAGAGAAATGCTGCTTTAAAGCAGTTCATTTTTTACCCGATGTTACCCAGTTACTGATGACTATCACTGAGTGTTGAATCTTATGATTTACGCTGAATGTTTTTGTATGTACCCTGAGAGCTTATGCACCAAATTCCTTGTGTGTCCAATCACACTTGGCCAGTAAAGAATTTTATTCTTTTTGAATTTGTTTTCTCTTTGCCAGATGGACATTCAACGATCTCTTGAGCTTTTGCACATGACCATATACACTCAAAGTGTCTCACCTTGCGGCAGATATTTAGCAGCCGGAAATAACTATGGAGAAATTGCCGTATTCAGGTATTATCACTGGCTATGCTTTAATTTTTTTTTTTTTAAAGCAAGACTATCTTTGGGTTAACTTTCACTCTTTTTCTTCTTGGATAGCCTGTCGGCAGCATTAAGTTCAGAAGCCAAGGAGGAGAGCAAGAAGCCAGTGGTGTGCTTTGCAGGTTGGTAACGGTTGGGCTAGCAGAGAAAATATAGAGATACCTTAGCAAAGTTTCTGAACATTGGCAATTTTAAGATGTGTGGACTTCAACATAAACATTACCCTATAGTAAACTGGGGTATTCCTCTATGGTCAAATTAGGGCTGTGTGTAGTCAGCAGATAGCATGGTTGGCCCATATATCTTTAACCCAGAAGGAATTCTTCATTTGGCATCAATGTCGTTGAGTTTCTTTGGTTCAGTTGAGGATTCCCCAGAAGGCTACATCCTTCATGAAATGTCTCTCTTCTTTCCACAGCCCACAGTGGAGCTATCTATGCCATGGTGTCCACCGATCGGCAGCTGTTAAGTGCTGGCAATGGAGAGGTCAAGGCCTGGAACTGGAGCGAGATTGTGAAAAAAGTATGAGTGGGTTGTTTCCCTCCCCCTTCCCTCTTGGCCTGGCTGTACGTTTTCTGACTTCTGTTATTCCTGAAATGCCTTTCCTTGCCTTCCATTTTAGAGTTGCAAAGAAGCTTGGAGTAGGAGGCCACCTTATGGGTAAAGCCTAGTTTTGCTGTTTCTTTTTTTGCTATTATTTTTTTCCTGTGCTTGGACCTGTTGAGATTTGCCTTTCGTTTCCTCTTTAGAAGTAGACTTGAAGTACCAGAAATCAACAGCCTGCAGTTGAACCTGAAGGTATGGCCATTGGGATGTCTTGGGATGGATCAATACGGCTCAAGAGGTTTCATTATGCCACATTCTTTCCTTTTCCCCCTACTTTTTCTAGGATAATAGTCTACTGATGGCTGGAGGTGACTGTGTCATTCACATGATGGACTTGGAGACTGGAGTATTTACTGTGAGTCCTTTAGGTGTGGGGGGAAATAAGCCAAGATGCCCTATGTTTTATGGAGCTTTCAGCCTTTCTGGTTTCCTCAGAATTCTTCTTAAGATCTGGATAAATGTTGATAATTTAACCAGCAGATCATGTCAGGTACAAAAGATCAGGTCCACACATGAAGCTCCAATTAAGCTGATTTATTGTTGATCTTCCCATATAGAGGCATCTTTTTAATTCACCTGCTTGGAGTTAAATGCAAGTCAATGGAATTCAAGGGAAGTTGGACTTAGTTCACTTGTGACTAAATAGGGATTCTAGGCTGACCCCTCTTTTGACTATGCCCCCAGGTTCTGCCATTCCTTCTGCAAATCAGTACTTATGATCTAGATTTAGGGTAGGAGAGAGGGAGATGATTGATAGATAGATAGATAGATAGATAGATAGATAGATAGATAGATAGATAGATAGATAGATAGATAGATAGATGGATGATAGATATGGCATTAAAACACACAAATAGACTCTAAATGTTGATTACCAATGCATCTATTTTGCATCTATTTTGAATTCTCTCCCTTGTGCATTTGCCCCTGTTTCACTTTCTAAAGTTCAAATGTGATTTTTCTCAACCTGGGAGCTTTTCAGCACCTGCCCTTCAATTTCAGTGCTGTTGCTCAGAATCCAGAAGTTGAATTCAATAGATCTGGAAGTGTCTATGGAGATTCTCAGTCATCCAAGTCATGGTTGTCCCAAAGGTGCTTTTTCAAGAGGAACTGGACTTTCTTGGGAATAGATCTTCAGCTTTCTTCTGTAAAGTCTGGTGAAACATGGTTATGGCTTTTATGAAAAGTAATCAGTTCTTTCGTCAACACATACCAGGTTTCCCCCAAAATAAGACCCGGTCTTAATTTTTTTTAACCTTAAAAAGAGGCATTAGGTCTTATTTTAGGGGCATGGCTTCCACTGTTTCACTTCTCAGTGGCAGCACCAACAGTCCCGAGTCTGTGTGGCCGCTGCCGGCCTACTTCTGTGGTTGCTTGCTGCCATTTGCGTGCATCGTCTCCTTGCCTCTGTTTTGCCATCAGAGCCTTTAGGAAAGGCCTCTGCAGCCAAGAAACAAACACTGATGTGAAATGGAGGCCAGGGGGCAACATGCATGTCAATCCAGAGCTCGTTTCTCAGCTGCATAGGCCTTTCCTGAAGGCCTCTGACAGTGAAATGAAGGCCGCGGGCAACGCACGCAAGCGACCATAGAAGTGGGCCGTGAGGCAGGTGTTGGGGTATGGGAGGCCTGTCTGCAGCTGTCCTAAGGTAAGTGGGTACGGGGCATGTGGGGCAGCTGCATCCCCCCCTTCACCCTAACTTGATTTTTATCTGTGCGCTTCTCCCCACCCCGTGCAACCCAGTGCAATGGAGTGGGTGGGGTCTTAACTATGGCTTATTTTGGGGGTAGGGGGGTAGGGCTTATATTGGGTGCATGTGTAAAAAATCAAGTTAGGTCTTATTTTTGGGTTGGATCTTATTTTCAAGGAAACAAGGTATAATTGGTGCTGTCTGTCGTATCCCTGGTCTGAAACCTGCCTTGAGCAGGTCTAGATAATCCTTCCATGGTCCTCTGAAGATGTAGTCTGACTATTTCTCAACAATCTTGTCCAGGAAGGGAAGGCTGGAGGCTGCACAAAACTTGTCAAAAATCATTGGGTCCAGCAATGATTTCTTGAAGAAAAAGGGTATCGCCTCCTCTCTTATTCACCACAGCATGGATCTAATGAACAGATAGCTCAACTGCCTTAAAGATCCTGCTCATTCTTCAGTTTAATGACCTTCCACAGGAGAACCACACTGGGAGATATTGGGGGGATTTTGGAAATCGTATAGATCAGAGACCTAATATCTTGTTAGAAGTCTCTTTCACTGTTAACCAAATCTAGAATGCTGATTTTCATGGGCCATTATTGGAACACCTATATAGATAGACTTGAAGTCACTTTGCCCCTTCTCTGTCCCTTCCTCCCCTTCTCTCAGCGTGAATTTCAGGGCCACACTGATTACATCCACTGTTTGGCCCTTCGTGAGCAGCTCCGAGAATGTCTGTCAGGAAGTGAGGATGGGACCGTACGTCTTTGGGGTAAGTGTCTACTGGGTCAAACTCTGGTTCTCTCTTCCTTTCATGTGGCCCCTGTTTCTTCGTAAAACATCTAACAGTCTTTATACCAGGGGTGGGCAACTACTTGCTGGCTCAGGAATTCTGGGAGTTGAAGTCTACAGGTCATAAAGTTGCCATAGTTGTCCAACCCTGCTTTAGACAAATGCAGTATCTTCTGGATATGTGAACTCCAATTTCTAGAATTCTCAGCAGAGACCGTGTTGGCTAGGAAATTCTGGGATTACCTCCACAAATCTGACAAGCTGTCCTACAGGAGCATAATATATATGCCTTACATTAAATTCATCAATAGTCCACTTAACTCTAGAAGTACGGTGACTCATTGGTTTAAAAGATGCCAGAGAACATCTGTGCTCTGGAGGTTCGAGTCCTACCCACTGTGTGATGGAGTGAGCTTCTATCACTTGCCCCAGCTCCTGCCAACCTAGCAATTCAAAAGCATGCAAGTAGCTAAATAAGCACCACTTTGCTGGAAAGACAGTGATCTGTGTTTTGCTGCCTGCTCTGCGCTGTGACATGATGTCATGCTGGCCACAGGATTGCGGAAACATCTTCAGACAGCGCTGGCTCAATGGCCTAAAAACAAAGATGAGCATTGTCCCCTAAAGTCTGCTACGACTAGTGAAACCTGCAGGGACTCCTTTTATGACTTAACTTCACATTGCATGATTTCGCCTGGGATTTCTGGCTGAACACGTCAGGGGTTGATTTGAGACTTGGGCTTATAAACGTTGTGCTTTGTCATTAAGCTGCATTCCTTCCCTTCACCTTTAAAGCAAACTTATATCTGGGTCCTGTCAGGGCAGAACTTTATCGTTGTTGGCCCTACTGTTGTGGAACAGGCTCGGGATGCAAAACGACCAAAATCTGGTTTGACTGGAATGCAGAATGATAAGGCTTCCTAGGGAGACAGTAAATCCAGATGTTTCTGAACTACAACTCCCAGGAATCCTTCAATGTAAATTGTATTGGCTTGGTCCTGCTGTGAGCTTCAGCAGAATTTGAAGAGCTGTACGTTTATAGTCTATTTGGTGGTGCTTCTGTTTCTGCCCCTAATTTGTTGCCTTCCAGCTGCAAATGCTGGGCAGTTCAACACATCTGAAGAAAGTTGTTGTGATTTTCAATCAGAAAGAAAATGCTGTTTTAAGGACTGGTTTCCTCCCCCCCCCCCCTTTTAATTTGGTTTTCAGATTTACGTATGGGAGGTCAAGTCCAATCAATTGCTGTCAACAAATATGAGGTATTTTCACCTTAACCTGAATTTTGAATTGTAAACCTTCTAGTCATTGATTGAGTTGGGTGGCTATAAAGAAATTGATTGATTGATTGATTGATTGATTGATTGAATAAATAAATAAATAAATAAATAAATAAATAGATCTTCTTTCTCCAAAACTCAGAATGTATAATATTGCTGTACTTATCCTTTTTTTCCAGATTTGCCCATAGATATTTTTTAAAAATAGGAATTTAAATCTCATTGATTTCAGTGAGCTTGTTGTGAGGGAACTAATCAGAGATCAGTTTTTAATACTGTGAATCTAACTACTACTTAATTCAGCAGTTTTCCTCTAAAAACTCTCCTTAATTCTTTTAGGAATGCAGACGCCCTCAGAACGGGAAATGGATCAGTTGTTTGGCGACAGATTCTGACTGGATGGTGAGTCCCTCAGCTTCTCAGTGACTTGCATCTCCAGAGATACACCAGGCAAGGGTGCCCCAGTTGTTTGCCTCATCAATGGGGTTTTCATGATTCTTGGGCTACCTCTCTTCATATCATTAGCTCATCTGCATACTATTCAAAAGAATAATAAAAAAAAAATTCAAAAGGAAACAAAAAGACTAGATATACCTCCTTGCCAGCAATCAATAACCAGATAAGCAGAGATTAATACCAAGATTATTTGTAGACTAACAATCAAGCAGTAAACAATATCCCTATCAAGGAACTACCAAAGAAACAATAAACAACAGAGTGAACAAGGAACTACTAAGAACATCCCCACCAACGTTGACAGGGCAAACCAAGCCACTGATATATTTATTTTTTAATTATATTTCTAGGTAGCCCATCTTCCCTAGAAGGTGATTCTTATATAAACAGAGCAAACCCTACCCCCTATCTAGCACTGATGATATTACCTAACTGGGTAATGAAACGTCTGCAAGAAAACATCCAAGCTCAGAGAGCACCGAGGACCCTATAGCTTTGTTCTTTTGGAGTCCCTGATCTCCAGTTTATTCTGAAGTGGGGGATCGGTTTGTGGATTGAGAGTTCAAGCTTGTAGAGAGCACCAGATTGGGGAAAGGATACTGTGAAATATACTTTTTTAAAATGTCACAGGTGTGTGGCGGGGGCCCAGCGCTCACTCTTTGGCACCTACGTTCAGTGACACCCACCACTATATTTCCCTTGCCTCAGTGCCAGCAGCAAGCCATGTTCTATCAAGATCTGGTAAGTCTTACATCCCTGAGTTTCAGAACCTGCCCCGCTGCCCCGTGATAGACGCCCTCACTTTGCTTTGCTGCTTTTGCCTCTTTATTTAATCAGTATTAGCCTCACCCTTCTCTTCTGCCTCTATTTTTTTATGTGTGGGTATCTGAAAAAGACCCACTGATCTGCCAAAGCTCAGTGCAAAGATTTCCAAATTGGTTTAGAAATTCAACGAAAGTCAACATTTAAAAAAAATGTTAGTGAGAATGTATGGCTGGAGATGATCCATGTAAGAGGCATGGTTTAAAAAACACCTAAAATATCTTGCACTTACCATACAGAGGGGATAATTTCACAAGGCTGATGCACAAGGAGGTTTGTAATATACCTGTACTGAATAAAATCAGATTTCCTTCTTTTTGTATTCCTTTTCCTTTTTTCTTTTGTCACTTTTTAACTTTCTACCGTCTGATCCCCTCCCCGCTCCTAAACAATCTTTCCTTTTTCTGTTAATTGTATTTTATCTTTGAAATTCATTAAAGTGGATTTTTAAAAAGAAAAAGAAAGTAAACAGTGCGAAGAACAGGAGATTCTCCAAAGATTGTGTATCAAAGAGGGTTACTGTCTATGGAGATTCTCATGGTTGTTCCAAAGGTGCTTTTTCAAGAAGCAACTGGGCTTTCTGATTTTTCTTTAAAATAATTTCGCTTCTCATCCAAGAAGCTTCTTCAGAGAAGAGCTGAAGAAGCTTCTTGGGTGAGAAGCAAAACGTCTTCAAAGAAAAAACAGGAAGTCTGGTTGCCTCTTGAAAAAGCACTTTTGGGACAAGGAGGAAATACTGTTTCTGTTTTGGGTGACCTAAGATTGCCACTGTTTAACTGTACTGATTTTTTTTTTTAAAGTACTTCTGTCTCCTTTCTTCATCTTTCACAGATTCTCTCTGCTGGCCACAGTCCAACCATTAATCATTTACAGATCAGTGGGGAAGTGAAAGCCCAAATCCCTTGCCTCCCTCGTTGTGTCCACTCCATTTCCATCAACGAACGCTCTGCAGAGCATAAGGTACATAGCTGACCAGAGTTACCCTGTGGTAAGATGGACAGACAATAAATTTCGTAAGGTACCTTCAGAATTGCAAGCAGAATTGGAACGGGTATGTGTGTGAGGGGGTGGTGTAGATATTGTGGCCTGTTCATTGGATGAATGGGGTGGAGCTCAAATCAGATAAGGCGGGGCCTACTATAAGAAAGGGATCAAGAGATAAGATAACCTTTATGAGCTGCGGTAGCGCAGTGATTAGAATGCAGTACTGCAGGCTACTTTTGCTGATCGCTGGCTGCCTGCAGTTCGGCAGTTCAATTCTCACTGGTTCAAGGTTCACTCAGCCTTCCAACCCTCCAAGGCTGGAAAAATGAAGACCCAAATTGTTGGGGCCAATATGTTGACTCTGTAAACTGCTTAGAGAAGGCTGTAAAGCACTGTAAAGTGATAATATAAGTGCTATTGCTATTGTCATTTTTTTCTGTGGGCACACTGGCACATATTAAAAATGAAATTCTGTTGCCTGCTCTCAAAAGTGTACACATACATAACACACATATAGATATGCTATATATATATATATATATATATATATATATATATATATATATATATATACACATATGTATATACCTAGACCCTAACATATAAATACGTACAAATATTAATCACTGTCCAGCTTGAATATATAGCAGAAAGAGGAAGCTTGATGGTTCACGAGTTGATACTGTATGAAAGAAAACTGTGGCTGAATCTGGATATTCTGCTTTGGATACCACGAAGCTCCTCCCAGAAGGAAAACAGATTATCAAGAGGAGGTGTGGTGTCCTAGACAATCCCACGGACCCTGCTCAAGCATCGCTTATGTGCTGCTTCCTGGATAGAAGGGAGTGAACTGCCAGTAACCTTTTCTGCCATCCTCACCACTCTGTGCATCACCTTCCTATCTGAAGCCGTGATGCTTCCAAACCAGACTGTAATGCAATACGACAGGAGCAATGGGGAATTAGAAAAGGTGGCAGTTGTTTCCATTTTGGGAAGGAGGCGGGTACTTGGATCTTTGATTTTGAAGAAACTCGGATCTTGGGAATAATGTGGAGGTTGTTTGGATTCATTCATCATAGCATTTGTATCCTGTCTTAAAGGAGGTTCCAAGTCAGCTAATAAATACAGCGATATAAAACCAAAGCCAGCAATTGAACCAGATGAAATGAGAATTTTAGCTGTCTCTTAAGCTGTCCACTGAGAAGATTACACAGTATAGTTGACGAGAAAATGTTCTGAAGTCCAACAGCTGCTGGCACCTGTCTGAAAACAGTGCTCGTGCCAATCAACTGCATTTTGAATCAGAGTAGCATGCAAAGCATGAAGTTGGAGTTGTGGCTAGCTAATCTGGTTCAGCACATCATGTAGGCTCATCCCAAAAATCTTTTTTTTCCCCCCCTTCAGGTATTGACAGCAGCTGGAAGCAGCCACTTCATTGATGTCTTCACCAACTTTGGATACCGAGCCTTTTCGTTAATTTTTACCTGAGATGCACATGGTGTTCTTTTGTGAATAATCTTGGTTTTGTGAAATTTCAAATCCAGTATGGTCTAGGGGGCATCTCTGATTGCTGAAGAACTTGCAAAGTTTGCCTGCAAAAAGGGGGGGGGGGAGGTTGCTCCCCCCACAAGGGTTGTGAGAGAAACTCCAAAAACAAGCAGGATTACTTAATATGGAAGTGAAGGAAAGGAACTGAAACTTGCCTGAAAGCAGAGGTCCTAAGTCTACTATTGATCTGCGTGTTTTCATTCCAGGACTGGACTGTTGAATCTATTCATGAAGACATGGAAACCATCACCCCACCCCTTTGTTTTTCTACTCTTAAAAATCAACGTATTTTCCATCTATACTTTCCCTTTTATTTTCACAAGTATTTCAACAAGATTGTTTGTTGGTCTGTTGGTTTTTTTGAGGGTGGGGATTGTAGTGGGAACTTTAGCAAGTTTAACTACTTCAATTTATATCTTTAAAAAAATTGCACTGAAAGTTCTTCCCCAAACAGCTGGAATGAACTGCCAGAATTTGGGAGCAAAGTGTAGGATTTAGCAGGTCTTCAGATGGCTCCCCACCCCGTTTCTATCATTTTTATTCACACACAAACACAAACACACACACATACGCACACACACCCTATTTTCCCCACAACAACTTTATGAGGTGGATTGGACTAAGAGTGAATGAGTTGACCCAGTCACCCAGCCAGCTTTCATGCCTAAGACAAGACTAGAAATCTAGGCTGGTGCCTTAACCATTGACCAAACTATCTCCCATTGGAAGGTATGTTTGGAAATTCCACAACTCTTATTTTTTAAAATTGGCCATTTTGCCATTACACATTTGGCTACCAGTTGGATACTATGGGGGGGGGCAAATGTGACTTTACTCAGCTCTTTCTACCTTACCATTTGGCTAGAATCCAGAATTAGCAGTGGATGATGGGAACAGAGCAGCCAAGATATAAAGAGCTGTTCAGGATATAACCTCTTAGATTTGTAGCCTTTGAGCCTCCTGCAGAAATTTGCCTAGACAGTTTCGGCCTCTTCCGTCGTCATAAAGGTTGGAATTACTTTAGGGTAGAAAACAATTTCTTGAGATGAAGGAAAAGTTATTTATTATTTCAAATCATTAGAGCTGACCAATTCTGCTGGACGTTGGGCAGCATACAAACCCCTCCTCTCCCCCCCCCCCCCAAAAAATAAAACCATAAAAAGAGATTCAAAGTTAAAATCACATTGACAGCCTGGACTAAAAATGACACAAACTAAATCAAATATTCCCTGCAAACCACCAGAAAATCACAGGCTTGGGAACAAAGCTAGATTTTATGGCAGCCAAAAGCAGTTTGTTCCTGAAGAAAGCCCAGCAGGGTTTATTCTTCAGTAGTTTCTACTTCCTCGTACATATGTTCATCTTCCATTCTCTTCAGTTCTTCCAGTTCTTCCCGGTGGCTTTCTTTAAACTCCCGGAGAGCTGCAGTTTTCTCTTCATAGCCTTGGTTGGCCGAGCAGCCTGGGGATTTGTGGCCCAGGACAAGATAGGCGGTGGCATCTGCCAGCATGGCTGAAACCTCATGGCCGAGGGTCTCCAAAGACAAGGGCCAGTAGATGTCGTTGCTGGTTTTGTAACGCTTGTTGAAGAGATTGAGGGGCTTCAGGAAGTAATGAGGGAGGCGTTTCTCGGCCAGGGTGTGTTTCAGCAGCCCCAGGAGGTTCTTGAGAGAAGAGAGCAGCGTCTCCCAGGCCTCCCTGCGGGGATAGATCTCACAGCTCCACAGCAAAATGGTCTGCAAGAGAGGAAAGGCAACAGAGCCGCCATGCTTAGACCTTGCGCTGACTTTGGAGGTTCGGGCCTCATGACTTCCTCAGGTCAGCCAATCATCACGCTCCTAGGTTTATGTCAAGAAGAGGTAGGAGGAAAGGAATTTGGGCAGGGCAATGGTTATATTGTAGAGCGGGGTGAGGGGGAGCTGAGATTTTATGGAAGAAGTCGGCAATTGATGCTATCGGGACTAAAACACACAAAGCTCTCTCCTAACATACACACACCATGGCAGCAGAGAGGGAAAGGAGATGGCAGAAGGGAGGTGTTTTTATTGCTATCCAATTTTACATGCTCCCACGTGGGGTAAAAGTGAGTTGGTATGTACTTTTATACAAGTGCAGCAAGTAGTCCTCAGCTTACCCATTCCTTTAAAGACCAGAGTTATAAAAACACTGTGACCTTCCCCGCCGGCTTCTAACAAGCTAAATTAGTGAGGGAAGCCAGATATCACTTAACCACCACATGATGCACTTAGCAACTGCAGAGATTCACTTAAAAATGTGGCAGTAAAGGTCAAAATCAGGTATGATTGACTTAAGAACTGTCCTGCTTAGCAATGGAAATTGTGGTCATAAGCTGAGGACTACCTGCATATGGGGAGTTTCAATGTATCTTCATGAGGGTGAGGTGGAAGCTTAATCTGGCCTAGCGCAGGAGTTAGTTCAGAAGATTCACCTTAAGATGGTAGGAAGTCAGGATTTTGCCATACTCCGGGGTCCATCTAGTCTGGTTAACAAACTTGAGCAGTCGTAAAGCTGCCCGTCTCTGTCCTCCATCAGCGTCGACTTCCTTAAGGATCATCATCTCAGCACACCTGAAAGACAGCCTGGTTCCGGGGGGGGAAATGGTGGTTAGGAATATTGTAATCGTTCTGCAAACAGGAGCTTTAGAACCATGTATCCAGCTCAAGGGTCCTTCCGGTGTATCTTAAGTTTGCAACTGGCCTTTCTTAACTTGGGCAGAAAAAGTGAAACCGATGGACTCTAGACCTATGCATAATCTGGGAAAAGATGCAGCTGCTTTAAAGAGTTCCAAAGAAGTGCTATGGTAGATTGGTACCTCTGGGTCACCTGGATATGATGGGAACTGTGAGCAACAAGTCCAGTGTTTTTCAACCTTGGCCACTTGAAGATGGGTGCAGTCAAGACATGCTGGCTGGGGAATTCTGGGAGTTGAAGTCTTCAAGTGGCCAAGGTTGAGAAACACTGAAATATAAGCAAGAGAAGCACACAACTTCTCAAAAGAGGCTTTCCAGTGTCGTTCTTTCATTAAGGGAGATGACATCAGCATAGGCCTCCTTAGATGAGGGTTCAAGAATCCCATTAAAAGCAGAGTTTGGCAAATGCTTAAAACATTTTTATTAAAAACCCAGATAAGCAGTCTCAGGTTCTAGTGGAAAATCCTGGCCCTGTTCCAGTCAGGTGTTTTATTCTGCATCCCTATCCAGCATCCCACAGGGCTTAAAACCATGTCCTCAACCTTGGCCACACCGTTCTTTCCACCAAACAACTTGGGTTTTTTTTACCTCCAGAATCCTCCCTTTGGGACGAGCTCTAGCCCCGTTTCCTTAAGGGCTTGGACCTTCTGGAGGAAGCTCTTCTTTTCATTGGTGAGGTCACCATCCCACCAGTCAGAAAGGTGAGTGAGATCCTCCCTCATCCATTCGTTGGAGAATTCTATTGCTCCCCGAACGGCTGGCACCAGCTTCACCGGGATAGTTTCATTCCCTTCGTTGAAAACCAACTGGATGGCTGGACCACTTAAATCCAAGGTCTCTAATCTGATGTTCCCTAGAAATGTGTCGGAGGAAAGCAGATCCAGGGTATTATTAGCCAAAGTGATGCACAACCTTGAGTTGTAACTACAGGTAGTCCTTGACAAATGCAATTTAGATCTGTTGTTAAGTGAGGTAGTTAAGTGAGACATGCCCAATTTTACGATTTTTTTTTTTGCCAAGGCGGTTGGCAATAGTAGTAGCACTTAGACTTATATACCGCTTCATAGTGCTTTACAGCCCTCTCTAAGTGGTTTACAGAGTCAGCCTATTGCCCCCAACAATCTGGCTCCTCATTTTACCCACCTCAGAAGGATGGAAGGCTGGGTCAACCTTGAGCCTGGTAAGATTCGATCTGCCAAATTGCAGGCGGTTGGCTGCAGCAGAAGTAGCCTACAGTACGGCACTAATTACTGCACCATTAAATGGTCATTAAATGAATCCGGCTTTCCCCATTGATTTTGCTTGTTGAAAGCCAGCTGGGAAGGTTGCAAATGGAGATCATGTGACCCCAGGATGCTGCAACCCTCATAAATTCATGCCAGTTATCAAATTGCCTGAATTTTGATCATGCCATGGGGATGGTACAAGGGTCATAAATTTTTAAAGCTGGTCATAAGTCATTTTGTCCAGGGACATTGTAATTTCAAATAGTCACTAAACAAATTATTATAAGTTGAGTACTGTATTGCATGGTGGGGAAAATAAAACTAGTGGATCTAAAGGCTTAATTGAATAGGAAGTACACACACACACACACACACACACACACACACACACGTCACTCATATTTTGAAGTAAGGTGAATTTTAGGGCGTCTTTGCATAGGGACCCATCTGGGATTTGAACCCTGGTCTGCCACATGAAAGAGTTCTTTAACTACTACGCTATCCAGTTGTTAATAAATTATAATATACAAATAATGCACAAATATACCATTATATAAACTATATTTGCATATATAATTATCACATAGGTTAATATATGCATGTTCATATGAGTAAAAAAAATATTCATATGAACGAATGAATATACAGGATAGATAGATAGAAAAATAGATAGATAGATAGATAGATAGATAGATAGATAGATAGATAGATAGA